TGTATACAGGGTACACAAGATTGATGTCCAAGACCAATTGTCCTGTCAAGCTTCCCTGCTTCCTAAGAGAACATATAGAGAAACACAGTGGCCTGGGTGCTTCACTGCCTGAGGGAGTGCGTCTGTCTCTCAGGAACTGGAAGGTGCTTTCTTAAAGAAGGAGCCCAGCCTCTAACCTGAAAAACCTGTGACACTTGCTTGCCAGGCAGCCAGGCCAGCCAATGCTATAATTCCTTGCAGGGCCACCCTGGAAGAAATTCTTTCCTGGTCTGCAAATTCCTGAGAGCAGAGAGGCACTTGCATTTTGTCCCTGCTGGGTTAGGGTTTGAAGCTAGTGGAATCTTTTGCCAGGTATTTCTCTGACCACCTAATGTTTTCTAAGCGTGCTCAGCATGCTGATCTGCTGAAACACCCTGAAGGAATTAAGGGTGTATCAGGACAGATGAATCAGTGCAGGAGAAAATGATGCGGCAGCGGGGCGTGCTTTTTTGGAATCTGAGAATGCTATCTGCTGTCCTTCAGTGCCACGTAAGTGGTGGCGGGAATGGAACATGTGAGGTAAGCTTCTTAGGTAAGCATTATCAGGAGGTAGTTCATAGGATGACTACAAAGTCAGCCTATCAAGGAGATAGAGAGACCTGAGCATACAGAAGGATTTTGCCAAGTCATGGGCCTAGTTGTAAATTGCAGACATTGGCTAGGCTAGGCCAAAGTTGTGTCAACAGATGTGTGAACAAGAAATCCTGGAAAGAAGCTGTGTCTGCAGAGATTGACGGATCAGAATTGGAGTACTTTGGAGACATGGAATGTTACAGATCCAGAGGCTGTTACCATGTCTTGGGCTATCATTAACCTCCAGAACAGCCGCTCTTTACCTACTTCTGTGTCAGAACTAGCATCCTAGACTAATACAAAAAAAAAAAAACAACAACCCACTTTGGAAAGGATCTATTGACTTAGCAGGCCCACTGGCTTCTATCAACCCAAAATGGAAGATTACCATCAGATAGTGTCTTGGACCTATAGAAAATGTCTCCATTTTCTATAACTACCTCTTGGATGTTGACCACTGTATTTTAACTTGCCTTGATTTTGACATTGTTTTGTAAAACTATAAAACTTCACGGGCCGGGCGGTGGTGGCGCACGCCTTTAATCCCAGCACTTGGGAGGCAGAGGCAGGCGGATTTCTGAGTTCAAGAGTTCGAGGCTAGCCTGGTCTACAGAGTGAGTTCCAGGACAGCCAGGGCTACACAGAGAAACCCTGTCTCGAAAAAACAAAAAAAACAAACAAAAAAAAAAAAAAAAACTTCACGAATCAGATTTCGCATTGGGATATGAAATTTGGGGTAACCTAATTCCATATTCTTGGACCATAGTTGCTCAAAATGACTTCAGAATAAACTCTCATTCCCTTTAAGTTCAGATGTGGGTTTTACATTCAAAGGTGAATATGTTGTGAATTTATCTAGTCACAGGCCAGGTTACAGAGTCAGGGGCAGAAGTCAGAAGTGGGATAATCATGCAGTTAGGGTGGAAATGAAGCATGCCTTTGTAACTTTTCTTTTTGAATATTTAACATCAGTGGCATGTTTTATATTGTTCATTTAAGATGTCACACCTGTTTTTCACTATGGAAATTATTTCCTTAACTACATCCACACACCATTGGTCCATCTGTTATCGCCACTTTAGAAATGAGGAGCTGTTAAGACTCAGCTTCTGCCAAAGGCATACAGTGGTAGGAGACAGAGCCAGGACTTGAGAGCCTGTGCTGTCCACTGAGTTTCTGATTCTCTGCACCTCAGCACATGGTGCAGATTTCATTGTAAAGGTAAAGGGAACCTGGAAAGGTTTTAAGGCATGGGAGTGACAACCATCCACTACATGTTTACGGAGTTGAGCTGATAAGCAGTCAACTGGAGCAGAGGCGCTTAAGCCCTGGGCACTGTACGCTTCACCATTTCCCGTCTGAGCTTCCACTATGGACTGTTGGAAGGTGTTCTCCTTATGTGTATGAACTTCAGGGTCACTTTTAATACTTTGTCCCTTGCACTAGCTGTGGGAAATTGGGCAAATTCTCAGACGTTTCCTTGTCCGTTTTGTAAGGTTGTTGTGATTATAATTCAACAGTTGGCAGACATGGAGGTTAGGCAGCACGCTTTTCGAATTTCTGAGGGTCTGTGCATGATGTGGCTGATACCACCTTTCCTTCCTTCAGCCATCTTCTCTCCTGGAGTTCTTCACCTCTCTCCAGCTATCCTTCTTAGTTTAGGAATTCTCCCATCGGTTTTTGTTTTTAATGTGGACTGAATACTTAAACCTTTGTCTTGTGTGTGAAGGCAACTGCAGAGGCCAGAAGAGAGTGTCAGATTCCCTGAAGCTGGAGAGTTACTTGTGGTTGAGAGATGCCTGGCATGCATGCTGGGAACTGAAATCAGGTTCTCTACAAGGGCAGTATGTGGTCCTGACTGCTGAGCTGCGTCTCTAGCTCAGCTTGTAATGCCTGGGTAGATTTCATCTGATCCACTGCTTCTGTTATCCCTTTAGCTATCTGCTGTGAGCTCCCCCACAAGTATGTCTGGCTGAGCCACTTCAATGAATATGTTAAAATTCCCAACTCCCAGAATAGTGTAGTCTAGACACAAGGAATCTCAATTTCCATGTCAGGAGGGACTCGGTATATCTTCTTGCCTCTAGAAGCAATTGCTTTTCTCAGAATCACTCTGCTTTGCTCAAATCTACTGATATTGGAGCTCAGTGGGTCTCAACTGTCCCAACGCCACAGCTCTTTAACACAGTTCCTCATGTTGTGAACCCCCAACCACAAAATTATTTTCTTTTTTCTTTTTTTCTTTTTTTGGTTTTTTTCGAGACAGGGTTTCTCTGTGTAGTCCTGGCTGTCCTGGAACTCACTCTATAGACCAGGCTGGCCTCGAACTCAGAAATCCGCCTGCCTCTGCCTCCCAAGTGCTGGGATTAAAGGTGTGTGCCACCACTGCCCAGCCCAAAATTATTTTCATTGCTATTTCCTAACTACAAATTTGCTACTGTTATGAATCATAATGTAAATCTGTTTTCTGATAGTCTTGGGCAACCCCTGGGAAAGCCATTTGGCCCCCAAACAACAGGAACGGTTGTGACCCATGGGTTGGGAAGGCCCAAAGCTCCTTTCTCTTGCATTCTCCAAATGGCCAAGTTACTACATCTGTTTTCCTGTACCTCTGAAGAGCCCCTTTCAGCCTCATGTCAACTGTGTCCACGTCCACCCTGGCCGAGCTAAGGTTACCTTCAGCTGTAGAAAAGCCCACAGTCCATTAGTAACGTCAGTTCTGTGGCTGACTTTTCCTGGAAACACCCGAGACTATGAGAATATTCTTCTAAAAGTTTGTGTGTGTGTGTGTGTGTGTGTGTGTGTGTGTGTTGTTGTTGTTGTTCCTAAGGTGGCTACTGTGTTGGTAGGCAGCTGTGTCCTGGAGAGGCCTGGTTCCAGGCTGAGTGAGAGGAATTTGGTCAAATAATCTGTATTTCCACATATTTGTACTGTCAGCTGGTTTCCTTCCCCTATGAAAACCAGGCTTAGGGCTGCTTAGAGGAGAACCTGACTTAACTCATTCATGGTCAAAGTGCACAACTCTGTTATTGTAGCAGCCCCGGAAGAGAGACTGTGAGGCAGCCAAGTCACTGACATCGAAGGCTTACCTTTGATAGGAAATCAGAAAACATTAACGGAGAAGGCTTCCTTTGTTCAACACCAAGCCAGCAGAAGCCAGGTCCTGCCCTGCCCAGTGTAAGCTGCCTCCTCCTCCTCCTCCTCCCTTTCCTTTTCCCATTCTCTCCCCCATCCTGGAGTCCAAGTTTGGCCAGTGAGTACTCACAAGTCCTAAAAGTGAGAAGGGCAGGAGTCACGGCTGTCCCTACTACTCAAGGGACCTGACTGCCTTGGAGCGTGACATACACATGCTGTCAGCATCCAGACCGCTTGTATTGAAATTGGTTGGCATCTTGCTTTTAAATCTGCCTTAGTTGCAATTCATGACACAAATCTGCATGCTGAGGGGGTCTGCTTAGCCACTGAGAGCTTTGATGTACCAAAGTCACTTAGTTCTAAGAACTTCTGGGTTCAACCTTTGAAGCAAAGTTCAGCAAGATGCTGGGGGCAAATGGGCTGTCTCCACACAGCTTTAAATATTGCTGAAGTCTGCTCTCTGGAAGTTTCAGGCAGAAGACAGGAGGGAAGGTCCCTGACAGTGATCCTCATGAGGTATTTATAGTGGTCTTTTGAGTCTCAGGTCCAACATCCACCCCTGCAGAAGACTGTCCTCATGGCAAGGAATTGCAAGCAGATTCCTCTCTGATATCCAGTGTATTTCTGTCCAGAAAGGAGTCTGTCATTTGGGGTTGGAGATGGGGGAGGCACAGTTGGGTTGGCATTTTGAAGCAAATGTAATGGGAATAAGAGAAACTAACCAATTGCCATAGAACCAGATCATAGTAATAAATGCTGAATTCCAAGTAGCTAGCAGGTATTCTAGTCAAGTGTTAGAGGAACAAAGGAGAGTGTCACCGGATATTACTCAGAGTACTCCACTTACCGACTATGAGCAGTTATGCCCCCAGACATTGCTTAGCACAAGGAGGAACATTATCTTCAGCCCTCTAGAAGTTAGTGCGGTAATTATGAGCTGGAAGCTAAGTCTCCTGAGTGTTCAGCTATTTAGAAAGGCCGGCTCTGTAACCACTATGCGACAAGCTCCTCCTATAACCTTATTCCCCCTAGACTGAGGTGCTGCATGCATTTAGGATTAATAAAAAGAGATCTATGAACAAACAAGACTTCAACTAATATTAAACAACCTACTCTAAAAACGGGTGTGTCGTTATGTAGTTATACCAACAGGTTTATAACACTAGAAGCCAAGCAGTCACCTACAGCTAGCTGTGTAGGCAGCCAAAGGTACCACAATGCGTCAGCAAGAAATGTAAACAGCTCTTTCTGGGGACCTGTGGCGGCTCTGAAAAGAGCCTTTGTGGGGGATGGAAGGGAGATCGAGCGCTCAGGCGCGCTCCCCACGGATGCGGCGGGCCAGCTGGATGTCCTTGGGCATGATGGTGACGCGCTTGGCGTGGATGGCGCACAGGTTGGTGTCCTCGAAGAGCCCCACCAAGTAGGCCTCGCTCGCCTCCTGCAGCGCCATGACGGCCGAACTCTGGAAGCGCAGGTCGGTCTTGAAGTCCTGCGCGATCTCGCGCACCAGGCGCTGGAACGGCAGCTTGCGGATCAGCAGCTCGGTCGACTTCTGGTAGCGCCGGATCTCGCGCAGCGCCACGGTGCCGGGCCGGTAGCGGTGCGGCTTCTTGACGCCGCCCGTGGCCGGGGCGCTCTTGCGGGCGGCCTTGGTGGCCAGCTGCTTGCGCGGGGCCTTGCCGCCGGTGGACTTGCGGGCGGTCTGCTTCGTACGGGCCATGTTTTTGCGACTTTGGCTTGCAGACGCCTAGTGGCCACACTTATAGACTTACCTTCGTCTTGATTGGGCCAGAAAACAGGAGTTTCTGGACTTGCAGTCTGATTGGGTAGAATTCGATCCTGTTTGCTGAGTTTCAAGATGGTTACACTATTCCTTCTCTCCTGATGCTTTTCCTTCTTCCTGTATTTATGAACTACGAAGGTTTTGAAAAGATGGTGCCTTTCAGTTGATGTAACTTTCCTAAAAGCGGTGTATAAAGTGTTTCTCACGCTGTGTGCTCTCCTGATAGGTTTCTTTGGAAACAAGCTTGCCCCTTACGTGTACTGTAATTCACTTTGTAGCAAGTCACCAGATACTGTAACTCTTCTCCTTAATCAGCATTTATTTAACCTCAGGCATTGTGCCCAGCGGTTTGAACACTTTGTACTACCGCTGAAGAACGACAAAGCATGTATAGTGAAAGGAAACAAAAGTAAATTTAAGTTTTACCTATTTTGAAACCCTACCAAAGCCGGTCTACATCTACCACACACTGACCATCCTTGTGTACGGCGCTCCCGCCTTTCCTTCCGTCTAGAGTGCAGTTCCTTCCACCTCCCCCCTACACTAAAGGCCAATTAAGTCTTGCAGATGAAATGTTTATATAACAAAGAAGGATAAGACTATAAGTATTACTAGTGTCTTTCCAGTGGAGAACAGTTACTAGTTAAACCTGTCATCTAGATGACAAGTCAAAATAACTTTCAAAGCAAATGAGTATTTGATTTTTCAAGACAGAATTTCTGTATGTAGCCTTGGGTTCCTGGCTCTCCATCTGTAGACCAGGCTGGCCTTGAACTCACAAAGAATCGCCTGTTTCTGCCTCCTGAGGGCTGGGATTAAAGGTATGCACCACTACCATTTGGTTTAATACAAAGCTTTTTATAGCATGCCTAATTTTTTTTCTTTTTTTTAAGGATTGTATACCAACCTTCTAAAACCTCAAACCCAAAAGTAAAAATAGGCCCAAGATATTTAAAAGGTTCCTTGATGGGGACAGAATTTTTATCTTTATGGTGAAATCCAACTAAAAATGAAATTAATTTTAAGGAGATTCCAAAATACTAAACACACATAGAAGTTTGATAGTTTAATTAATTTTTAAAGGAATCCTTCAGGAGCAGGAGCAACCTCCAAAATGTGGCACAGAAGTACCTCTGATGTGAGCTGTTATTTCACATTCCTAACATTGTTTTAAGCATAGCCAGCAATGCACCCTATACAAGTAGGTCTAGGATAAGTGCGATGGGTCAGTCAGTGAAGCCTTGAAACACAGAAACATCTTCATATCGTACAAGCAGACCATCCAGTGCTTCTCAAACCTCTTGGCTGAACTTTCCCATCAGAAGGGGACCTGCCCTGTGGGAGCTGGATGATGCCCACCCAAAATCTTCCTGGTAAAATTTTCTTTGTAGTGTATGCACTGGAGCATATGCATGGGGGTGTTTTTTTTTAAATCAGAACGAGATTTTCAAACTTCAGACTCGAATCCCCTGATCTGAGATTTTGGTTTGTCTGCCCTCATCGGTGTTTAGGTAATAATAAGTGAAAAATTCCAGAAAAGAAAAGCCAGGAGTTTTTTTTTGTTGTTGTTGTTTTTTGTTTTTCGAGACAGGGTTTCTCTGTGTAGCCCTGGCTGTCCTGGAACTCACTCTGTAGACCAGGCTAGCCTCGAACTCTCAAACTCAGAAATCTGCCTGCCTCTGCCTCCCAAGTGCTGGGATTAAAGGCGTGCGCCACCACCACCCGGCAAGCCAGGAGTTTTATTTTACATTGTATGCCTGTTCTTTCATGCCTTCTCACCCAGTGCACAAACCATCCTCTTGTCCAGCATATCCTTGCTGCACACGAACTATTTACTTTGTAGCAGCCTCCATTATCAGAGCATCTGTCAAGGCATCCAGTGCTTATGTTCAAGTAATCTTGATCTTAAGCAATAAGGGCTCCAAAGTGCAAACAAATTTCACTAAAGAAGGTAACCATCATTGTTCTGTTTTACTATCGTTCTTTTGATCTTTTTATGGAGCCAAATTCATAAATTAAACTTTACCATACGTATCTATACATATACTATAGGGAAACATATAGTGCTGAATATGTAATGTACAGCATTATCTATATGCTTAGCCATTGGCTAGGGATCTTGGACTATATCCTCTGAGAGGAAGAGAAAGCTGCTGTATTCAAATACAGAGTCCAAGAGTTGTGGGGTTTATTTTAACAGACAAAAAGAAAGTCAAGCCGGGCGGTGGTGGCGCATGTCTTTAATCCCAGCACTTGGGAGGCAGAGGCAGGCGGATTTTTGAGTTTGAGAGTTCGAGGCTAGGCTGGTCTACAGAGTGAGTTCCAGGACAGCCAGGGCTACACAGAGAAACCCTCAGAAAGAAAGAAAGAAAGAAAGAAAGAAAGAAAGAAAGAAAGAAAGAAAGAAAATCAAGAGTCTTCCTCTTGTCTAGCTTCTCAAATTATGCTTGTAAGAGGTTTGAACTTTTCTGAAATGAGGATGCCATTGTAAACCTGAATTCTAAGGCACAAAATTAAAAATCAAGAAGTAACTTTCAAGGTTATCAGTGTCCTTTCTAAAAGACAATCCTTGCTGCCCAAGCAAACTTAATTTGTATTCCTTCCTCTACACATTGCCTTTAATAGCAATTCAGAGTCAAGCTCAGCTGTGCCTGGTCTCCATGTCGGACACTAAAGTGATATTTATGTGAAATTCTGGATCCAAATTTTGACCAGAACAGAGGTTATGATACAGAAGAAACTGTTTCTCTGCAGTTATGGGACAGAAAACTATTTCTCAGAAAAATCCTGAAGTTTTTCATTAAAAACTACCCCCCAAAAGGCCAAGCAGGGTGTAATGGCACAGAGGCAAGTAGATAGGGGTGAGTTCCAGGGAAGCCTGGTCTACATAGAGAGTTCCAGGACAGCCAGAGCTACATAGTGAGACCCTGTCTCAGAGAAAAACAAACCACATTACAAGGGCTTAGAGTTTAGAGATGAAGAATTGGGATCTTATTAAATGGGGATGGGTTACAAGAAGCTTAACTTTTTCCATATGGTGAAAAGCAAACAAAAAAAATTTAACTAAATGAACTATTGGACATGCAATATTTTATATGCACTTTTATTTGTTTTTAATACAAAATTTTAAGTTTTGTGTTTGGGTTCAAGTACTCCCAGAGTTATATTAAAGCACCAACTTGGACCAGGTGAATTTTTGATCTGTTGGCTGCTCAGGCTGTATACCTGATCTGCTTTTATTTTGAATGGTCTGCAACCTAGGACCAAACTGAGAAACCACAAGTATTTGGGGTTCTTTTCTTACTCTGTTTTAAGATGGACCAGTACCTCCAGTAATCTGCCACTGGATAGAAATCAGTACAAGTCTCCTTTCTACTGATCAGTTGCTGTTACTGCCTATACAGGATAACTTAGTATAATTAATATAATATTTTACTGGAATGTTTTCAAATATAAAAGTATATGACAATATTTCAGTGCTATGTAAAATGTTGTTTAATTCTCATGAGATCTGCACAAATGTTATCAGTTATATATTTAAGGGTTTTTTTTTTTTTGCTTTAACTTCCATGTTTCTTAGTTGGAACTGAATCTTACAAGAAAAGATAGGTCAAAACAGTTGTTTCCTTCTAAATATATATAGTGAACATAGACATGAGAATTCTAAAAAAATAAGTAAATCAAAGGGGGTGATTAGAATTTGGGGTCCATGTACCTAAAGTAGTAGGGAGAGAGAAAGGAAGAAGGGACACTTGTGGAAAAGTGAAATGATTTTTGGGAGAATAAATAACTCTTAGGAGAATAGAGGGGGACAGGATAGCCCTGAGACTGCTTAGGAATGGTCTCAGGTCTTATCTCTGAAACGAGAACAATGTTATTGTTCCCCACCCCCACTCTGGGGATTTTCTGCAAACAGAATAAAACGTTGATTTCTTTTGTAGGTTCTGCTTTTAGACAAAGAAGGTATTTCAGGATCCCTTCTTCAGCTCAAAATGATTCTCATGTCCAAAGTGAGCCCATATTCTTGATTCCCTTCAAGTGAAAAGATGGTAGACTCCGAGTCTGCCTAGGGCCCTGGTACCAAAGCCCTGTCAGCCTGTGCATGTGGTTGTTTTATTTTGCAATGAAAGAGTCAAAGGCAGGAACTGTCCACCCATAAACAATTATTGAGCTACTACTACACTTCACCTTACAGAGACGAAACAGAAATTACACGCCATAAGGGACATAGTCGAAGGTGTGGAGAAGTCCGAAAAATACAGAGATGTGAAGCAACACAGCTTCCGGGGGTCGCCATGGAAATCAGAAAACAGCAGCTATGTGGTGGAGGGGCTCTGTCCATTCTAGGGTGCTGGTTTGGGCATGTAGGCATGTCTATGCAGCGGTCCACACACCGGATCTGTCCACTGGGGGATGAGGAAGTTCCCTACCCTCTAAGATCTACAATTCACGGGCCTTAGGTTTAAAACATTTGAGTTTGGAGGTGGGATTTTTTCTGAGCCCCTAGCCTAATGTGACTCAAAACCTCCTACATCTATGTGTCAGAAAATCTGAATATGTGTCAGAAAATCTGAATATGTGTCAGAAAATCTGCATAGAAAAAAAACATGCATCCATCAACACACATAAATGTTAGGGAAAAAGAACAGTTAGAACAAGACATATAAAGTCACTTTAAAAACAACCCCCCACCAACCCACCACAGTTCTTTCTGGTGCAGAATGTTTTCTCAAGATTCTTCCATGGATGGCCCTGGGAACGATGAACATACTACCAGTACAGAGTCGAGTTCATTTCCCAGGGAGTCCCAAGCAGACACAAACTTGAAAAAGCGATTTTTAGCCTGCTGCACAGTAGGGACAATTTGGGATAGCTGAAAACAAAGGGCAGACCTCAAACGACTTGTCGAAACGAGCGTAGCAGCTCTCCCGGGCTCCTCAGTGGGCCTTTGGCTTGCCTTTGGCTTAGAAG